CCAGGCTGGTCTTGAACTCCTGACCTCAAGTGATCCACCCGTCTCGGCCTCCCAAAGTGTTGGTATTACAGGTGTGAGCCACCATGCCTGGCCTGAATGTCTAATATGTTTTAGACATAACATGTTCAAAGTAGAATTCTTGGCTGGGTGCAATGGCTTACACCTGTAATGCCAGCATTTTGGGAGACCAAGGCAGAGGATGGCTTGCAGCCAGGAGTTTGAGACCAGCCTGGGCAACATAGTGAAACCCTATCTCTATAAAAAGTATGAATAGAAAAACTTAGTTAGGCGTGGTGGCGCACACCTGTAGTGCCAACTGCTTAGGAAGTAGGACAGGAGAATCACTTGAACCCAGGAGTTTGAGGCTGCAGTGAGCCACAATTGTACCACTGCACTCCAGTTGGGCAACAGAGCCAGAACCTGAATCCAAAAAAGAAAAAAAAGAATCTTCTCATGAGAGAAGAGTGATTCTTAAATAATCCTTTATTCTCGGCCGGGTGCGGTGGCTCATACCTCTAATCCCAGCACTCTGGGAGGCCAAGGCGGGTGGATCACGAGGTCAGGAGATCATAGCCATCCTGGCCAACATGGTGAAACCCTGTCTCTACCAAAAAATACAAAAAGAAATTAGCCAGGCGTGGTGGCAGGCACCTGTAGTCCTAGCTATTCGGTAGGCTGAGGCAGGAGAATGGCGTGAACCCAGGAGGCGGAGCTTGTAGTGAGTCAAGATCATGCCACTGCACTCCAGCCTGGGCGACAGAGCGAGACTCCATCTCAAAAAAAAGAAAGAAAGAAAAAAGAAAAAAAAAAAAAAGAATAATTTAATCTCATAATTCTTGTTCTCCCTGTAAACTTGCTTCTTCATTTTCTCTGTTTCACAAATGGCAACCAAGTTGCTCAGGCCAAAAACTGATGATAATCCCGGAGTCATTTCTTTTTAGCACTTAGAAGTAGCAAACCCATGCATGCTACTTTTTTTTTTTTTTTTTTTTTTTGAGATGGAGTCTCGCTCTGTCGCCCAGGCTGGAGTGCAGTGGCCGGATCTCAGCTCACTGCAAGCTCCACCTCCCGGGTTTACGCCATTCTCCCGCCTCAGCCTCCTGAGTAGCTGGGACTACAGGCGCCCGCCACCTCGCCTGGCTAGTTTTTTTTTGTGTGTGTGTTTTTAGTAGAGACGGGGTTTCACTGTGTTAGCCAGGATGGTCTCGATCTCCTGACCTTGTGATCCGCCTGTCTCGGCCTCCCAAAGTGCAAGGATTACAGGCTTGAGCCACCACGCCCGGCCGCATGCTACTTTTAAAATAATTATCTAATCCAACTACTCCTAATCTAAAAATCTTAATCCAAGCCACTGGCATCTCTTGCTGAGATACTGCAATAGTGTCCTAACTGATCTTGCTGCTTCCATTCTTGACTTCTGTTATGAGCTGTTATGTGTCTCTCCCAAATTCACTTGTCTAAGTCGCAACCTCTAGCACCTCAGAATGTAACCATATCCAGAGATTAGGTCGTTAAAGAGATTATTAAGTTAAAATGAGGCCATTGGGGTAGGACCTTAATCACATGTGACTGGTGTAATTATAAGAGGGGGATACCAGGGATGCATGCACACAGAGACAAATATGTGAAGAGGCAGCAACCAAGAGGGTGGCGATCTGCAAGCCAAGGAAAGAGGCCTGGAACAGACTTCTCCCTTAGGCCCTCAGAGGAAACCAACCATATCAGCATCTTGATCTTGGACTCCCAGCCTCCAGAACTGTGACAAAATTAATTTCTGTTTATTTTATTTTTTTAGAGAAGGTGTCACTGTCACCCAGGCTGGAGTGCAGTGGTGCGATCTTAGCTCACTGCAACCTTCACCTCCCAGGTACAATCAATTCTCCCATCTCAGACTCCAGAGTATCTGGAACTATGAGGGTGCATCACCACACCCAGCTAATTTTTGTATTTTTTGGTAGAGACAGGGTTTCACCATGTTGGCCAGGCTGATCTTGAACTCCTGACCTCAAGTGATTTGCCTGCCTTGGCCTCCTGAAATGCTGGGATTACAGGCATGAGCCACTGCGCCTGGATAAATTCCTGTTCTTTAATCCACCCAATCTGTGGCATTTTGTTATGGCAGCCCTAGCAAACAATTATACTGCCTTCTTCCTATAGCAGTATGGATATTTCATGTGTTGTTTCGTTTTGTTTCTGAGACAGAATCTTGCTGTGTTGCAACGGCACAATCACGGCTTACCGCAGCCTTGACCTCCGAGGCTCAAGCGATCCTCCTAACTCAGCCTCCTGAGTAGCTGAGACCACAGGTGTGTGCCACCACACCCAGCTAATTTTTCGATTATTTTCTAGAAATGGGGGTCTCACTGTGTTCCCCAGGCTGCTCTTGAACTCCTGGCCTGAAGCAATCCTCCTGCTTCAGCCTTCCAAAATTCTGAGATTACAGGTGTGAGCCACCATGCCTGGCCCACTATGGATATTTTAATTATGGCAAACCAGATTATATCATTATTCATGCTTAAAAACCTCTAGTGACTTCCATGTGGTTGAAATAAAACCGAACTTCTCTACTAAAGTTGATAAAATCCTACAAGATTTGGTTTTGGTCTTCCTTTTCATTATGCACTGATCACACTGGCTTTCATTTTATTTCACAAACACACCTAACTCATCCATCCTTCAAGCTTTTTCCCTTGCTGCTCCCACTGTCTGGAAATCTCGTTCTGCAAATGTTTGTGGGGCTGGCCTCTCCTTGCCGTGTAAACGCAAATGTCGCCTTGGAAAATCCTTGCCTAATGGCCTTAGCTAATGTAGTATCCCCCATTACTTCATTCAATTATACTGTTTTTCTTTACAGTATTAATTAGTAGACAAAATTATCTTTGTCATTCATTTACCTGATTTTTATCTGTCTCTGCTCACTGGAATGTAAGTTTATTGAGAAAAGGACCCTACAAATATTGTGCCCCAGCACAATTATAGAACATTGCATGGCACATAATATATATGAAATAATGATGTAATCAATCAAGGAATTAAAGATTGATGGATGCATAAATGTATAATTCTGCCTGGTTGAAATGATGGCCGGGTTTCTTGTTTTGTTTTGTTTTGTTTTTGAGACAGGGTCTCACTCTGTCACCCAGGCTAAACATTTTTTAAATGTTTCTTAAAAACCTAACCATTTCTGGCCGGGTACGGTGGCTCACGCCTGTAATCCCAGCACTTTGGGTGGCTGAGGCGGGTGGATCACAAGGTCAGGAGATCGAGACCATCCTGGTTAACATGGTGAAACCCCATCTCTACTAAAAATACAAAAAAATTAGCCGGGCATGGTGATGGGCACCTGTAGTCCCAACTGCTTGGGAGGCTGAGGCAGGAGAACGGTGTGAACCCAGGAGGTGGAACTTGCAGTGAGCTGAGATTGCACTCCAGCCTGGGGACAGAGCAAGACTGTCTCAAAAAAAAAAAAAAAAATTCTGCTAGGTGCAAACATGGCTCACTGGAGCCTCGACCTCCAGGCTCAAGCAATCCTCTTACCTCAGCCTCCCAAGTAGCTGGAACTATAGGCATGCACCACCCCTGGCTAACTTTTGTATTTTTTGTAGAGATATTGTCACCATCCTGCCCAGGCTGCTCTCCAACTCCTGAGCGCAGGTGGTCCACCCGTTTCGGCCTCCCAAAGTGCTGGGATTATAGGCATGAGCCACTGTCCCTAGCAGAAATGGCTAGGTTTTTAAAAAACATTAATTCAGCAAACATCAGATTTCTGTGTGACTGCTAACAATTTATGAGGAGATCTAGGAAGTCCCATGGAGAAGTCCACAGGGACAGCATGGAACTGAGGTCTCCTGCCAACAGTTATGTGAGTGGGTTTGGTAGCAGGATCCCCCAGCCACAGTCAAGCCTTCAGATGGCTGTAGCCCAGGCCAATACCTTGACTGAAATCTCATGAGAAACCCTGAAAAAGAACTATTCAGCTAAGCCACTCCCAAATCTGACCCAAAGAATCCATGCACAGCAATAGGAAGCTAATACATTCCCAAATCTGGAAACAGGTGTCATCTTTGGTAACTTCCTCCTACCTCAATTCCAATATCAAAGACATTTAAATAGCTCCCAAATTTTTCATTTCTCCCTGTCTTTCCCACCACTATTCTAGTCCAAATAACTGTTTTTTTTCTTTTTTTTTCCTTTTTTTTTTTTTTTTTTTTTGAGTCAGGGTCTAACTTTGTCACCCAGGCTAGAGTACAGTGGTATGATCTCGGCTCACTGCAGCCTCGACCTCCTGGGCCCAGGTGATCCCCCCACCTTAGCCTCCCAAGTAGCTGGGACTACAGGCATGCACCACAATGCCCCACTAATTTTTTCTATTTTTTTTAAGAGACAGGATCTCATTGTGTCGCCCAGGCTGGTCTGGAGCTCCAGGGCTCAAGCAATCCTCCCACCTTAGCCCAAAGTGCTGGGATTACAGGCATGAACCACCGTGCCTGGCCCAAACTACTGTCACTTCTTACTTAGGCAGGTGCAATAGCCTCTTAACTGATCAGCCTGCGTCCATTCTGGCCTCTTGTTAATCCATTCTCCATTCACAAAAGGCTAAGATGTTATTTTTCCAACATGAAAACCTCACAAACTCTTCCCTTGCCCTAAATAATTGCAGTGACTTCAGATAAGTGCCACATTAGCAATAATCCCAGAGACTACAAGTACACAGGAAAGGAGCAATGAACTTAGGAAGAGTAGGAACCAGGTCTTCTACTTTTTAAAATTAGTAAGTGTTAAATTGATGATACATAAACATGGCACAAAATCCACATGACATTAAAAGTACAACAACATTAAAGGACACGTTTCTGTGTCCCCACTTCTCCAGTTCTCTCCAGAGGCAACACTTAGGCATGTATCTTTTTGGAGGTATTTTATGTATATTTGTTTATTGACAATTATGAAAAATACTTGAAATAATAAACTGCCCTTTTCTCTAAAATCTTGACTTTCAGCCTACTTTCAAAGCCATCACCTATAATCCTTTTTCAGATCATAACCACTCTGCTTTCAAAACCAGGTAAGGGCAATGCAGACATAATTTATCCTTTTTCCTTATTGCTAACAGGAGTTACAATGATAACATCAGACATACTGTCATAAAGTAAACTGCTCTTTTCTTTAAAATCTTAGTCTTCAGCCTATTTTCAAAGTCATCACCTGTAATCCTTTTTCAGATCATAACCACTCTGCTTTCAAAACCAGATAAGGGCAATGCAGACACAATTTACCCTTTTTCTAACAGGAGTTACAATGATAACATCAGACCCACTATCTTTCCATTTGGGCTACCATAACAAAATGCCGTAGATTGGGTGGCTTATAAACAACAGACATTTGGTCGGGTGCAGTGGCTCACACCTGTAATCCCAGCACTTTGGAAGGCCAAGGCGGGCGGATCAGGAGATCGAGACCATCCTGGCTGACACAGTGAAACCCCGTCGCTACTAAAAATACAAACAATTAGCCAGGCATGGTGGCGGGCACCTGTAGTCCCAGCTACTCGGGAGGCTGAGGCAGGACAATGGCGTGAACCTGAGAAGAGGAGCTTGCAGTGAGCCGAGATCGTGCCACTGCACTCCAGCCTGGGCGACAGAGTGAGACTCTGTCTCAAAAAAAAAAAAAAAAAATTATTTTTTATAGGAGACTAAGTCCAAGATCAAGTTACTGGCAGATCTGGTGTCTGCTGAAGGCCCCTCTGTGGATCACAGATGGTTGTCCTCTTGCTGTGTCCTCACATGACCAAAGGAGTGAGGGAGCTCTCTGGGAACTCTTGTAAAGGCACTAATCCCATTCAGAAGGCCTCCACCCTGATGACGTAACACCTCCCAAAGCCCCGTACTACAAAAACCATCATATTGGGGATTAGGTTTCAACATATGAATTTTGGGGGGATGCAAACATTTTTTCTATAGCACCTACACATTTTTGTTTAATCTCCAACCCTCTAAATTTTTCATCTGTTACTTCAGTGATTGTTGGGAATATATGCTGTTCTCATCCTTCCTAGCTATCTATGTGTAAAGTACATTGTCCCATACCAGTATGTCATTTGCTGTGTGTTTTTCTCCTAAAGTTTATTGGTGTTTGTTGATTTTTTTTTTTCAGGAGATTGACTCTTTCAGGAGCCAGGTTCATGGCTTTTAATAAGGGTTCTGTTGAACATTAATTATATTCCTTTTATTGTATGTAATTAGTCTGGGGTTTTTTTCTTTTCTTTTTTCTTTTTTATTTTTTTTTATTTTTATTTTTTTGAGACAGAGTCTTGCTCTGTCGCCCAGGCTGAAGCGCAATGGCGTGATCTCGGCTCACTGCAACGTCTGCCTCCCAGGTTCAAGTGATTCTCCTGCCTTAGCCTCCGGAGGAGCTGGGACTACAGGCACCCGCCACCATGCCCGGCTAATTTTTTTGTATTTTTTTAGTAGGGACGGGTTTCCACTGTGTTAGCCAGGATGGTCTCGATCTTCTGACCTCGTGATCCACTCGCTTCGGTCTCCCAAAGTGCTGGGATTACAGGCGTGAGCCATCGCACCCGGCCCAGTTACTTAGTTTTTTAAAACCTAAATCCAAGCCATCACATTTAATCCCTATTAAATGTCATGTTGTTTGTTTCAACACATTTCTCAAGCCTGAATACACCTTTTTTTTTTCTTTTTTTTTTTTTTTTTTTTTTTTTGAGACAGAGTCTTGCTCTGTCACCCAGGCTGGAGTGCGGTGGTGCGATCTCGGCTCACTGCAAGCTCTGCCTCCCGGGTTCACGCCATTCTCCTGCCTCAGCCTCCCGAGTAGCCGGGACTACAGGCGCCCGCCACCACGCCCGGATAATTTTTTTGTATTTTTAGTAGAGACGGGGTTTCACCGTGTTAGCCAGGATGGTCTCGATTTCCTGACCTCGTGATCCGCCCACCTCGGCCTCCCAAAGTGTTGGGATTACAGGCGTGAGCCACCGCGCCCCGGCCAAGCCTGAATATATCTTTAAGAATCTTTGGGCTGGGCACAGTGGCTCACGCCTGTAATCCCAGCACATTGGGAGGCCCAGGCGGGTGGATCACCTGTGACCAGGAATTCGAGATCAGTCTGACCAACATGGCGAAACCCCGTCTCTACTAAAACTACAAAATTAGCTGGGTGTGGTGGCAGACGCCTGTAATCCCAGCTACTTAGGAAGCTAAGGTAAGAGAATCGCTTGAACCAGGTTGTAGTGAGCTGAGATTGTGCCATTGCACTGCAGCCTGGGCAACAAGAGCAGGACTCTGTCTCAAAAAAAAAAAAAAAAAAAAAAAGTCTTTGATTCTTCCTTTAGTAGGACTGTTCATGTTAAAAAAAAAATATTGGATTCCATGGTTACTTATACATTGAATTAATTTACCATTAATGTATTGAGTGCCCGTATTTGCACATTACTATAGTTTCCTAAAATTTCCCCTATCCTTAACACAACTAGAAATTGGAAAAGAAGCCCAGCAATTCCACCTCCTTCCTTACACCAAGGTTCTAGGCAATCAAAATACATGGAGGGGAGGAGAGAAAAGGGAAGGAGACCAGGAAGTCAAGGGGTTAACCTTAATGGGAAGAGTAATGTCTGGGACCATCTTCCCAGGCTAGAGTGCAATGGCCAGATCTTGGTTCACTGTAGCCTTGAACTCCTGGATTCAAGCCATCCTCCAACCTCAGCCTCCAGAGTAGCTAAGACTACAAATGCATGACACCATGCCTGGCTAATTTTTATATTTTTCTAGAGACAGGGTTTCTCCATGTCACCCAGGCTGGTCTCCAACTCCTGAGCTCAAGCAATCCACCTTCCTCGGCATCCCCAAGTGCTGGGATTACAGGTGTGAGCCACTATGTCCAGCCTCTGGTGCCATCTTATGGACCCTGCACGTATGTGTGAAATTGTGTGTGTGCATGTGTGTATGCTTATCTCAAGAACAGTGTTTTTGTAGGGCTAATGGACTATATTTAAAGTTTTCCAGATGTTGGAGACAGAAATGAGTTACCATAAAGCTAAAGAAGCTTAAATTTCCTTTCCCAAGGCACTATGCCAGGCACTACCATTTTTTTTTTTTTTCCTTTTGAGACGGAGTCTCGCTCTGTCGCCCAGGCTGGAGTGCAGTGGCCCCATCTCAGCTCACTGCAAGCTCCGCCTCCCGGGTTCACGCCATTCTCCTGCCTCAGCCTCCTGAGTAGCTGGGACTACAGGCTCCCACCACCACACCCGGCTAATTTTTTGTATTTTTAGTAGAGACGGGGTTTCACCATTCACAGGATGGTCTCAATCTCCTGACCTTGTGATCTGCCCGCCTCGGCCTCCCAAAGTGCTGGGATTACAGGCATGAGCCACCGCGTCCGGCCGGCACTAGCATTTTTTATTTGCATTTTTATATTCTTTTTTTTTTTTTAAGTGGATTCCCTCAATTCCAAGATCTATCCCTTGGAGATGTTACATTTTATTGTAAACCTTTAGATTATATCTAGAGGAGAAAGAATAAATGAGAGGCAGAGTATGAGAGCAATATTAGTTCATACTGGCTGGGGAAAATCCTGCATCGGTGAAAACATTCTGAGCGGCCAGGTATGTTGGCCCATGCCTATAATCCCAGCACTTTAGGAGGCTGAGGCGGGCAGATCACTTGAGGTCAGGTGTTAGAGACCAGCCTGGGCTACATGCTTAAACCTCATCTCTATTAAAAATACAAAAAATTAGCTTGGCCTGGTGGCAGGCGCCTGTGTCCCAGCTACTCAGGAGGCTGAAGTGAGAGGATCCTTTGAGCCCAGGACTTTGAAGCTCCAGTGAGTTATGATCACACCACTGCACTGGAGCCTGGGCAACACAGCAAGACTCTGTCTCAAAAACAAAAAAAAAATTTTTGAGCCAAGTAGATTTGGGATGGAAGTACCTTGAAAGTGCATAGGTTTCTGGATTAGGTAATTTATAAATATATAACAGATTGGACACAATGAAAACATTAAATTAGAGAGCTCTTCATACTAATGTTACAACTGGCTCTTCCCCTTAATAGATAGGCAGCATTGTTCAACTTTGATTTTAATAATTGGAGTATTATTATGGCTGGAACTAACATTGTCACTTCAGTTGTTTCTTCTTAATTTTTTTTTTTTTTGAGACAGAGTCTCACTCTGTTGCCCAGGCTGGAGTGCAGTTGTGCCATCTCAGCTCACTGCAACCTCCGCCCCCCAGGTTCAAACGATTCTCCTGCCTCAGCCTCCCAAGTAGCCAGGATTACAGGCGCCTGCCACTGTGCCCGGCTAATTTTTGCATTTTCAGTAGAGACAAGGTTTCACCATCTTGGCCAGGCTGGTCTTGAACTCCTGACCTCGTGATCCACCCACCTCGGTCTCTCAAAGTGCTGAGATTACAGGTGTAAGCCGCCATGCCTGGCCTTTAAATTTATTTTATTTATTGTTTATTATTTTTTTGAGACAGGGTCTGGCTCTGTTGCTCAGGCTGGAGTGCAGTGGCACAATCTCAGCTCACTGTAATCTCTGCCTCCCAGGTTCCAGTGATTCTCATGCCTCAGCCTCCCAAGTAGCTGGAATTACAGGCATGTGCTACCATGCCTGGCTAATTTTTGTATTTTAGTGGAGATGGGATTTCGCTATGTTGGCCAGGCTGGTCTCGAACGCCTGGCCTCAAGTGATCCGCCTGCCTTGGCTTTCCAAAGTGTTGGGATTGCAGGCGTGAGTCACAGCGCCCAGCCTGTTTCTTATTTTATTTTGTTTTTATTTTTATCAATGTTATTTTTTTTTTTTTGAGATGGAGTCTCCTCTGTCACCCAGGCTGGAGTGGCACAATCTCAGCTCACTGTAACATCTGCCTCCTGGGATCAAGCAATTCTCTTGCCTCAGCCTTTCAAGTAGCTGGGGTTATAGACGTGTGCCACCATGCTTGGCTAATTTTTGTATTTTTGGTAGAGACGGGGTTTCGCCTTATTGGCCAGGCTGGTCTCGAACTCTCGACTTCAGGTGATTGGCCCGCCTTGCAATGGCTCACACCTGTAATCCCAGCACTTTGGGAGACTGTTTCTTATTTTATTAGTCAAGTGCAGACACTAAATAACTTAGGTTATGTCACGGATATCATGTTTTTCATGCTCTGTTAATTCTACTTCCTCTAATTAGAAACCATTCCCCTTTGGTGCAGTAGAATTAGAGCAGGGAGCCGAGCACAAGCTGTACTATACTACACGTGTCAATAGCAACTGCTGTAGTTCTGGGTGAAACACATCTTCTAATTATGCTTTTGATACCCAGTAGAATTGAATGATGCAAAGGATTAGTTTGGAACTGAAGAGTTACAGGAGTTG